GGGGGGTGTGGCCGGGAGCCCCCCCCCAGCCACAGAGAAGGATGCAGGCGAGCTTTCCCCGGTTGTTCTTCCTTCTGGCAAAAAGGGGCAATCCCCCTCCAGATCCACAAACCTTTCATCTCCCACCCTCCCATCCCCATCAAATTGGCCAGCTTAGGTTTGCTCTCCCTGTCGTGCCTCCAGCAGCAGCAAGGTCATCTCCAGGGGCCAGGCAGACAATTCCCCTAACTGTGAAAAATCATCACTTTTGCGTCTTTGGGGAAGCTGCTTTTTTTTGGTTTGCCTTCCTTTCAAAGCATTTGGTACCCTGGAAAGCCCAAGGGGTGGAGGAGGAGGCAAGGAAGGAAGTCACGGCCAGGCGTCTCTCGCTGATGGGGCAGATAAGGGCTTGCAGAAATGCAAAGACGAAGCCAAACCAACGCCCCCAGCCCTGCCGGGGCCTCCCAGGCTCATGCGCTGCAGAGGATTGGGATTTCCAGCATCCCCAGGGGAGGTGAGGACAGCCCTTAGGGCTCCTCCGTATGGTGCGCCCTTTCCTGCAGTTACCCGAAAGGACGGGCTAAGCGCGCTCAGTGCACGCCTGCTGGGGAGCAAAGGGCTTATCCTTCCAAACTGGGCACATCCAGCCGCCGGGAAGCAGGCAGGAGAGCAGATGAGGTTTGCCCAAGTGAGAAAAATCCAGCCCCTTGCAGGGTGTCATCAGGCTGTACCTGACCATGGTGCACGGCCTCCTGTCTCCCAGCCCCCAAAGGCTGGGGTTCCTGCTCATTGCTTTTGGTTATAGCAGTGCACTTATGGAAGGACTATTTAGAAAAAAAAAAAAAAGATTAATTTTGTCATCCAGTGAGGCTCCTGAGTGCCTCCTCAAGGATCCCTCTCCTGCCTCACCGGAGCTGGGCAGTGTCCCGGCACAGCTCTACGTCTGGTCTCCGTGTGCGCTCATCCAGCCGGGTCTGAGCCACTTTTAGTGGAGGCCCTTTGTCCCTAATGGCTTTTCGGATGGCTTCTATGTTCATCTCGATCTGGAATATTTCCTGCAGCGTCTGGGGTGAAAAAGAAACACATGCAATAAATTAAAAAAAACATACTCTCAAGTGACAACATAATTTCCCTTTTCTCCTGTCCGTCTGCAGAAAAAAACAAGTTCAATAAGCAGACCCTGGGCTCAGACCGCTGTCACTCTGCCACATATCGAGGCACAAATCCAGCAGCAATTTCTCTTCAGGGACAAGCCTCTCTCTGCTGTTGCTGCCGCACCAGAGGAGGTTTTGGAGCCGTGATGGATCTACTGAATTACTGGCTTCCCAAAATTACTGCTTGCAGGAACTGATCAACCATCAATAGCAACTAACGGAGGGAAGGATTTTAACGGAGCTTCATTTAAGGAGCTTCATTCACTTTACTTTCATTAAAGAAAGTACTTTGAGTTTTAAACAGCAAACGGTACTTTATAGTACTTTATAGCTCTGCTTGTGGCGACCATTCCTCTGCTTGGGCCAGGTCTGCGTGGTGGGTCCCGCTTCGGAGGTGTCCCTGGGAAGCGAGAGCGTCACACCAAAAGGGAGGGGTTCAGGCTACCTTGGCCAGGTGGGTCTGGATCTTGCTCTTGGCGTCGGCCGTCTCGGCGACGCGGTTGGTGAAGGCGACGTTCACCTCGTTGAACTGGCGCCACATCTCGTTGGCCGTCACCACCAGCAGGTTTTCCATGTTGTCCCGCAGCTTGGCGGAGGCCGCCCGTTCGCTCTGGGAGCGGAGGATGTTGTTGTCCGTGAACTTGGCCCACGACTCTGGCACTGAGATCCTGGGGCAGGGAAAGGAGAGGCCCCCCGTAAGCCCGTGCTGCTGAAGCTGGACGCGGGGCAGGCGTGGACCCTGCCAGGGAGCTGCGTGGGTTAAGCACAGCCTTAACGGGAATCTTCTCTCTTAATTTGACCACATGAAAGTGAAACATCTGGACGCCATTTGTTCAACAACGCTTATCGAATGATGGCATGTTCATGAAGACAACTGTGATACTTATTAAAGCTCAGACAAACAAAAGATTTCCCCAGAAAAAATAGAGAGTTTAATCAAACCCCATATTTACACCTTCGAGGCATTTAAGTGCCAAGTGATTCACAGCTTCACGACAGCGTGCCGATTGCAGTCAGTTCATTTTGCTCATAACTTATCTCAGTTTCATACTAAACTGAGCGAGCGTTAGATGGTATTCGGTGCCCTGTGTGTGCATTCAGGATGAAGTTCACGCCTGTGCAGTAGTCCAGAACAAGGTCAACAAAAGACTTCAATACCACGTAAGCTCCATTTAAAACATGCTGATCCTCGGCACATTTTACCCCCCTCTGAATTTTAGCATCAATCTTTTGCAATTCATTTGCCTGCCTAAATGTGTCTGGGATCTACTGTGAACAATTATTGAAACATTAGAAAGATGGAATCAGTCTCTGCCCCTCCGTGAACTGCATGTATCTGCGTGAGCAGCGGATTTATTCCCTCAGCCCGTTGCCACTTAGGGCATATCTCTGTGAGCGCTGGTTTAGGTCACCGTTCATTTACCGTAGAGCCAGAGCCAGATTCCTGGCACCCAAAAGCAGCTGAACTCCATCCCAGGACCATGCTCTCTCTTTCTTTATCTTCTGTGTCATTTCGGCTGCCTGCCAGGCCTCTCCGTGCTGGGGTGAACCCCCCAGACTTCACGTCAATGAAGAGCACTCGGGCAAGCGCTGACACATCTTTGAAACTATGCATAAACCTAATGAGCTGTGCAGAG